GCTGTGAATTTCTACGCGGTTCCTATGGAGCCGCAATGAATGTGCTATAGTCACTTCCTGTGTCCCCTATGTGGAGCACATAGCACTTGCCGCTATGATAAATCGGTAATTGACGTGTAGTCTGCGGGGGGGAGAGTTATCAAGCACGTAATTGTTTCAGATGACATGTACACTGAACAATAATGTACCCAAACAATAAAATAAATTCCTTTTATATTTCCCTGCCTTGTTGTTTATGTGTACATACAGAGGAAGAATGTGAGAACAGCACACATTTCATCGTTACTGTGTGTTAGAGCATGGAGAACAGTGGATACTTTTAATACAGCCCACCCCTAATACTGTGTAACTATAACAAGTAGAGAACAGAAGAAAGATGTTCTTTACAACTGTCTGCATAGCTTATTCATATTGTGTAATGAATGAAAATAAATAGGCCTACTAGGCTCCTCTCTACTTTGACATTTAAGATTAGCTTGTTTGATCCACCTTCATACACATGTGACATTACTGTACAACTTGAGAAAGGTGAGTTGTTTTTCTGCTAGCCTGCCTAAAAGAAAAGCGTTTTGGGATTAAATGGACTTTATTAGCTGCTGCAGTGCAGGATGAACTCAGAATAGACCCATTTTCATTATTATTCTAAATCATGCAACGAAGAAGAAGAAATGCATAAGAAATCCTGGGACAAAATCTGTCCACAAATACTGGACAGCATGTAGTCGATGATCAAGACTTGTGTTATAGCTGACTTGGGCAGTGAAATTTTTTTAATTCATGTGGTCATAGTTGTCCACAATCAAATCAGATATAGAAGAAATGTTTATACCACCTCAAGAAGGCTTCCTATCAGAAAGGTAGGAAGGTATTTCAAATGTACAACTGCAGTACTTAAATCTAGTAAAGTAATTCCCTGACATTTTTGTGTTACTTTACTTTTAATAGACCATGTAAGAGGTTTTATACTTCCTGTGAGTATAATCCAATCAATCTTATTTTCATACTGTATATCCGTTGTGTAATTTGATAAATTGTGTGTATGTCGTGCTCGCATCTCAGAGAAGACTCTGACTGCAACATGCGTCTTGTGTAAAGAGAGAAACGACAGAAAAAGTCTCTAACTCTGCCTGTCAGCTCGCTCTGCTCCGTTAAAACTGAATTTACCATACAGAATTGAATACGAGTGCACTCCAGATTTAGCTGCAGCCAGCTGACCGTGTGCTTCTCCCTATACCGCAGGTTCTGTGTCCATGCATGCAGCAAACTGAAAGCACTGTCTGTCGGTGCTTCTACGTGAAAAGAGAAGGAAGACATTGCTGGTAGTATTGTCTTCAGAGTTGTTAAAACCTCAGCGCACTGAAGGAAGCCATCTGACTGTGTGAGGGGCAAGATCGTTGATGTCTGCAGGCAGAGTAGGAGCTCTCCTGTCTGACTGGCACCAATAGCAGAGAAGATGCCCCTTGAGACACAGCCCCTCCTCATTTGCAATGAGGCAGAAATGCATACAAAAATTTAAGACAGGCAGAAATAAATACATGGGTGAAAATAAATAAGGTAATAAATACAAAGGAAGATAAAACAGAAAAAATATTAAAACACACACATAAATAAATACATTAAAAAAATTAGTAATAAATAAAGTTGAATAAACAAATAAGGTAATTATAACAAAGGTGAATAAGTAAAGGCACTAATTAAATATATACATTTATGTCTCCTTGTATAATTTAATTACTACCTACATTTATTTATTTACTTATTTTTTTGTGTATTTAATTGGATGCTTATTTATTTATTGAGCATTTATTTATTTCTGTATTTATTTCTGACTGTGTCAGGATCGGTCCATAGCGGGGTGGGAGAGTTATCAAGCACGTAAAGTTTGGTTCAGATGTGAGCATGTACACTGAAGTTACAACAACTTCCTGTGTCATGGCGAAGACTTGATCTCTGACGCCACGCCACGGACACACCCATTGACGAAAACTCGCAAATAGCACAACTTTCATCTTCAATGCCTTTAGAAGGCACAGCACAAATTTGAAGTCGGTCGGACTAAATCCCTAGGAGGAGTTCGTTAAAGTACGAAGTGTGTAAATCATCCAAAATTTGACGTAAAATTCAAAATGGCCGACTTCCTGTTGATTTTAGGGCATCGCTCCAAGAGGCTTTTTTGTGCGTCTGGACAAGATACACGTACCACAGAAAATTCGTGCACGTAGGTAAAACGTGCGGCGGGGGCTGCTTCATTAAAAGTCACTTCCTGTTGCCAGCAGGTGGCGCTATGACTGTCTGTGAATGTCAGCATGTACATGTGTTCAGGGCGGGACTCTCATCCTACATGTACAGTTTGGTCCAGATGTGAGCATGTACACTGAAGTTACGACAACTTCCGTGTCATGGCAAAGAGCTGATCTTTGACGCCACGCCACGGACACGCCCATTGACGAAAACTTGCAAATAGCACAACTTTTCATCTTCAATGCCTTTAGAAGGCACAGCACAAATTTGAGGTCGGTCGGACTAAATCCCTAGGAGGAGTTCGTTAAAGTACGAAGTGTGTAAATCATCCAAAATTTGACGTAAAATTCAAAATGGCCGACTTCCTGTTGATTTTAGGCTATGGCTCCAAGAGGCTTTTTTGTGCGTCTGGACAAGATACACGTACCACAGAAAATTCGTGCACATAGGTGAAACGTGCGGCGGGGGCTGCTTCGTTAAAGGTCACTTTCTGTTGCCAGCAGGTGGCGCTATGACTGTGGGTGAATGTCGGCATGTACATGTGTTCAGGGCGGGACTCTCATCCTACATGTACAGTTTGGTCCAGATGTGAGCATGTACACTGAAGTTACAACAACTTCCTGTTTCATTGCGAATCATCGACGCCACGGACACGCCCATTGACGAAAACTCGCAAATAGCACAACTTTTCATCGTCAATGCCTTTAGAAGGCACAGCAGAAATTTGACGTCGATCCGACTAAATCCCTAGGAGGAGTTCGTTAAAGTACGAAGTATGTAAATCATCCAAAAATGGCCATAAAATTCAAAATGGCCGACTTCCTGTTGACTTTAGGCTATGGGTTCTTGAGGCTTTTTTGTGCGTCTTGATACGATACATGTCCCCAGAAAATTTCGTACATGTAGGTTGAACGTGAACGAGGGGCTAATCATTTCCAATTTTCTAGGTGGCGCTAGCGAGTCATTTTGCCACGCCCATGTGCGAAACTTGTAGAATATGAAATTTTTCACCGGTTCTGACATGTTTGCAAATTTTGGTGAGTTTTCGAGTATGTTTAGGCCATGTCATTTGGGCCTACTTTGCAGAAAAAAAAAAAAAAAAAAAAAAAAAAAAAAATAATCCGAGCAATTTCAATAGGGACCTCGCACGGTCGTGCTCGGGCCCTAATAAAAAATAATCCGAGCAAATTCAATAGGGACCTCACACGGTCGTGCTCGGGCCCTAATAATAATAATAGCAATAGGACTAGTAACAATAGTCGTTGCAGCAGAGGGTGTCGAGCAGGAACACGGGGGCAGCAGGTGACCCGCAACCACAGATCCAGACTCCACAGCTCCAGAGCCAGAAAACCTGCAGGAAGTGATAGGAGGAGAGAGTGGACGGTTGGTTATCGTTCCCTCTAGCTGGATGAAGCCCGACGCTCCTGATTTTTATGCAGGATCCATGTGCGACGGCAGCTGGGGGCTCTCTGCAGTGCCGCATAGCTTTCTAAATTTATCCATCTCACAGCGTAATTGTAGCAAAATGGCTACATATTGTCATGGGAATTGTATATTTCATGGTGCAGAGTTGAACAAGTAAATGGACAACAACAAACCGTTGTCTTTTGGTATTTATCAAAGGAAGAAAGAAACAAGTGCAAAAAAGGATTCAACTGTAGGTCAGACGTCTACACCTGGGACAGAATCAGACATCTGGCCCTGAGCAGAGGACAAACAAAAGTGGCCTTAAAAACTCCACTTAACATGGGAACATAGGACTTAACAAATTTCTGCTACCTCACATATAATAATATGAAAAAATAAGACAGACAATGTCTGATATTTTCACATTCAGCACTAGGTCCACATGCTTGCAGTAGACCGGCACCTGCAGTTTATTTAGGGCCGTATGAATCGCCCAGGGCAAAAAAGACAACTGGCAGCCTGTGAAAGTGCATCAAAAGTCACAGCCTGTGAAAGTGCATCAAAAGTCACAGTACGCCAAAGAGGAAATGTACAAATAAATGATTTACAGCAAAACAGTTGTCTTTGGTTTATTTATTAACATGAGACATAGACAAAGGATAGATTCAGCTGGGTCAGAGGTCAGCATAGAGCTTCTGGCCCCGAGGAGAGGAGTGCATTAACACTTGAATACAGTGTCACACGTTTCATTAATAGAGGAGACTTTCTCAGCACTGAGAGAAAATTCTATCTGCAAGCTACAGAGACCAAGAAAACGATTCCAGAGAAACCCCTCTGACCGAAACAACAGCATGGTACAGTGAATAGTATAATAATTCAGAGGATGAGTATAAGTACACAATAGTGGATATATAGAGATATGATTATAGACACGCATAAAAGCACAACACATTTTCTGCCATTGTGTAACTGTGAGTATCGGCCCACTCACGGCACTAGCTTACATCAAATGAATTATTTGTTATTTAAGATTTCATTTGTTTAAAGGTTATTTTAACCATGGTTACAAATCCCATAGGGCACATGGCACGCCACTGTCCCCACTTCTGCTGCCCCATTCACATGTCTCATCTGGTCATCAAGGAAAATGTGTGGCCTGATCTTCTCCAGCGTGGGGCCCTTGGGTTCCCCTTTCAGTAAGAAAGACTCATTCATCTCCAGATCCCATGATTGCACAGTTTTCAGGGCTCTGGGACCAGCCATGACTGAGTCGCGAGCTGTCACCATGTAGGTCTTGATGGGGCAGTCCTTGCATTTGTCAGAAAACTTCTTCTGCAGCTTTCCTAACGCCTCCAGGAAACCTTTCAGTGGTCCCTGCAGAAAGACAAATGCAGACAGAGTAAGCCTTATATGTGGCTCATTACACATTACAAATCAAGTATGTAATTATTAGAATCTGGGCCTCCGTGCTCTTTATGCAGAGTTTACTTTATTGACCACCATTCCTACTAATATTTTAATTACCAAGATAGTTCCGGAGATCTGGAAATGAGGTGACATGAAAAAAAATCAGACCGGTTCAAAACTAATTTATTTCCAAGAGAAAAGCTAAAAATATGAACCATGTTTACAGACCAAATCCCTTGTTCATCTTTGACCTCCTATACTTTAATGTAGCTACACACACAGTTTGGGGTTGCTGCTGACGTTTCAGGTGTGTTCGCTTTCAGTTTTAGCTGCCATTGAAGTTCTTTTGATGATCTGACGTGTTAACAGTCAGTCTGATCGTTTCGCCACTTGTTTCTTGTTCTGTCTGATGTTTTTGTAAAGATGAAAACATGTTTCCCATCTCATAAATTACTTGCTCAACAATTTTATTTAAGTGATAGAAATGACGGTCAAACATACAAAAATAAGAGTTGGAGTGGGTAAGTTGTAGTAAACCTGAACTATCCTTTCACTGAAGGTACAAAATGCCCTACATCTTAAACAGCAGTGTGATGCTAATAACTGTCACTGTGTATACTGTACAGGGTTCAGAGGCTGGTTCTCGTGTGTCTTCTCGTGCTCTAAGTACTGGGCCAGTGCTCCTTCCTGGAAAATGCGCTCAGACTCATCAGAGAAGAGGACCCCGTCACCGTCAAAGACAACACGCAGCTCAGTCTGAGACACCTCTGTGATCTCCTTTGGGGGGACCATGGTGGCTGCTGCTATACCTGAACGTATAATTCAAAATCAGGTTTGTATCAATACATCTGTCATTTGCCTTCTTAGTGTTACAGCTTCTCAGTAATATGTAGCTTCTCTCTCTTTGTACTGACCTGCCTCCAGAACTTGTCGAACCCTGACTGGATCATCAGACAGGTATAGGTTAATGTGGCAGGCCTTCAAGTCGCTTATGGGAATATTTTCTCCTTTCAAACGGTAGCCTTCAATGTACAACTCTGCAGAGAGGAGGAATCAAAGGTTTAGTGAACAGCTGATGTGCACGAAACTGAAGGTATGCAGGAGTCAATGTTGTGAATGAATCTCCTAAAAAGATCATATGATTCACTCGTGACGTTTGGTTTCATTTTATAATACATCACTCATAGTTCTGTTGTCTGTGTATTTCTGTTTATATGACGAAGAAAGATAAATGCTGGTGAAGTTAAATGTCCTTCTTCCTCTCCATAGTGTTACAGGGGTGACCGTCGTGCCCGGGTACTACGGCAGACTTTCCTATCGTAGCTTCCCCACAACACTTTTGAATGTCTATTCATCAATAAATCATTTCACCATATCTGTTGAGAGAGGTCCTTGCTAGTGAAACACCAGATAAAAGGATATTTTAAAGGATATATTGCCACATTCATTTTTAATTTCAATGTATCTTAGTAACTCACGGTGATGCTTGATGGTTTTGATGAGTCTTTGGTCATCGTGTGCCTGGTTAGTCATGAGCACAACATCAAATAGCTCCTCGCTGTTGGGGTA